GAAGGGAAAAAAAAAACACTGAAAAGGAAACGAATGCAGCCACTTTGTCTAAAGACGTGTAAGCTGCAATATACATATTTATATGTCTTACGTTGGTGGGATTTACCCTTCTGCTATAAGCTGATGGTCACTTTAATGCACTTTAATGACAGCTAAAAAAGTTTCTGGGTGCCCCCCCCCCCCCCCCCCCAAAATGGAGGAAACACTGCATTTGGGAGTTTAAACTCCATGACAACATAGGGTTGTTTTGTGGTATGTGATTTCTTCCTCCTTTTATCGGGGCACTAGGGAGGTGGTAGCTGATTTATGTTAGAGGTCAATATGTATGGATCACAAGCAATTGTAACAGACATTTTTGTAAAACCTTTTAATGTTTTTTAACTTTGGAATAAAACTATTTAAACTTATCAATTGTGTGATTTGGTGCCTTAAAAACCCTTCTTCCATTTTTGTACATACAAATAAAAGAGATATTGCAGGAATGCACAGGTAGGTAGCCAAAATGGTCATCACAGATGTATCTTGTGGCAGGATAGTTATAGCTGTCCCTGTTTTTACTATATCAGTATACTAAATTAATGAAATGTAATGATTTCAATGAGTGTGCCAGATCATTGTTACAATACAACACAATATAAAGTCTGGCGTGCACATTAAAAAAAAATCCATATCTACCAACCTTCTGAAACGAGAAAAAGGGACACCTTCCAGCACAATGTATTTAGGCAATGGATACACCGCAGTTAATACCAACCATTAAGAATGTATATGTCAACAAATTATTGGGACAGTTGGGAAGTACGATAATCTGAAGATTCTGAAGACAGGTCCCAATTCCCAGCAGCTTTCTGTTATAGCATCAGAGCTTAAATTAGAAGTCAGGGAAACATTTTATTTTCAATGGCTGATAACTTGGCAATATAACCATAAAGGGGGGGGGGGGGCAAAAACATTCTGCATATTTGTATCTGCTCTTTAACACTGTGATTATCACTCTTATTGTAAAGAGTAAACTAGACTCCTGTATGTAGCAGTACAGAGACGGAGTCTGTCCAAGAGAAATCCATTTCAAGAGGTCATCATCATGCAGAGATGCTGAAAACAGATCCGCAGTGTTGTAGAGGATCCATACAAAATCCCTATGTGACAGATATTATATAAGATTATTTCCTGGGGGGAGTTGGAGGCTATTGATTTTCTTCTGTGGTAGAATATTATTCCAAGACGAGGAAGGGGGGGGGAAGTTAACCCGAGATGTAGCAAAGAGTAGAAAAGCATAGTCATCCAAAGGGGCATCTATGGCCATAGTAGATTGTGCACTTCCTATTATGCCCAGCAATATAGGATTATAGGAAGGTCCAATACTGTCTGGCTGCTTAATGACTAATGCAGACAGCAGCAAATCAGCAATTGCAAACATTTTGGAAAATATACATACAGTACATACACATTGCAAGATTCAAGATGCAGCTCTGGATATTACTAAGTCTTAGAATCCTAACAACTAGGAATGCACCAATACCTTTTTTTCAGTATCGAGCACGAGTACCAATATCTGTTTTTTTTTTCGGTACTCACTGATACCGAATACTGATACTGGAAGTCCCATTAAGGAAGCCAGGTGGCGTGTACAGATTCAGTGACGAGGGAGCCTGAAGTCGGCTTTCTGGCCAATCAAGAAACCGGGGGGCGAGTAATGACTTGCTGTCCGGATTCGTGATTGGACAGTTTCCCGACCAATCAGGAAGTTAGGTGGCGAGTCATTACACGTTGCTTGGCTTCCCGGCCAACCGGAAGATCAAATATTGGGCTAGGTATCGGAGCATTTGAGTACCTGCCCAAACACTCGGTATTGGCACCGATACCGACCCTAGTATCGGTATCGGTGCATCCCTACTAACAACTGTATTATGGGGCACATACTGTGAATATGTAAAGCCTCACAATGAACTTCTCTTATTTGCTTCCTTTTCATCTGCTAAATATATAATATGAAACAGATATAACAAAATAATTCAATTGTATAAGTGCAAAAATACCTGTCGATTTGACTGATAACTTCCTGTGCACATGGAGGGATTATGGAGATTGGGAGGGGGGGATGAGGAGAGGTCTGTGTTCTTTATTACCGATCAGAAATGAAGTAGGCATGGCTGACACCACTTGCTTACAATTCATATCCATAAATACATTGAGGGGAATTTTTTAAAAACTGAGACAGATTCTGGAGCAGCGGTCCATAGTAACCAATCAGCTTCTCTCTTTCATTTTCAAAGCTTAACTGAACAATATGAAGAAAGAAGCTGATTGGTTATTATGGGTAAGTGCTCCAGATTCTGTTTGCTCCAGTTTTGATAAATTCCCCCCAATGGGCAGTCATGTCAAATAGGAAGTTGGGGCACATGAACAGGTATTTTTCTGTGTTCGTAGCATGTTTAAAGGGATAAAACACAGAGACAGGTGAGTGTATGTCCGAGATGTACTAAATATGCTCTGGGGGGGTTTTCCCTGGACATACGCTTTAACATTCACATTGTGTAGACCCTGTACTAGATTTTGTAGCTCAGGAGCAGCCCATGAACAGCGCCCGCTTGTGCTACAGATGCACTGATCTTGTATCCTTTGGTGACAGAGTGGGTGGTATACATTGCCTAGCAAAGCAATGAAGTCCTCTTTGACGTCAAGGAAAACAAACAGTGCAATTATCTTGTGTGATTAATGGAGAAGACAAATGCATAACATGTGTCACTGGGCTGAGGATTGTATTCAGCAAAGCAATCACTCCGGTGTAGTAAAAAAAAAGAATAAAATGACAATAAATAAATACTCGTCATAGCTGCAGAGAGTGGAAATGTACTAAATATAATAATACCCGCAGAATAGATTTGTGATCATCAGAAACTTTGAATACATTGCCAGGTTTCATGCATCTCCATGTACATCAGCAGGGGTTGTATAACGAGGCAGCACAATATTATACGAGATACATGTGTATGCATATACGATGAGATACATGTGGATGTGTACATGAGACACATCTTATACAATGAGTATAAGGGCAAAGGTGATGTGAAATCACTCAAAGCAACCAATCAGATTTCATCTGTTCTCAGATTTAGTGAATCAAAGTAAACAAAACTGATTGCTGATTAGTTGCACATAGCTTATTGTGTTTTTTTCCTTATTAAATGGTCTCCTTATGTCAGGGGTGGGCAACTCCGGCTATCCAGCTGTTGTGGAACTACAAGTCCCATTAGGCATTGCAAGACTGACAGTTACAGGCATGACTCCCAGAGGCAGAGGCATGTTGGGATTTGTAGTTAAAGAACAGCTGCGTGATTGACAGCTGGCTCTGCCTATATAGAGACAGAGCCAGCTGTACCCGCCCCCTCCCCCGTCCGTTCCTCCAGTCAGTGCTGGAGGATCGGAGGGGGGGGGGGGGGGGAATCCCTGCAGGGGACAGTCACGGCTCTCTGCAGGGACAGGATCGTGAAGTGAGCGAGTGACGGTATGCGTTCGCTCACTTCCCGACTTATTGAGCCGCCGTGTGACAGTTTCATTGTCACACGTTGGCTCGAACTATGAGGTTGAGTGAAAATCACTCACCTCATAGTTCTCCTTTAAATCTACTGACAACTATGTAGTTAAAGGACCTACTTGATTAGATACAAATTGATTGAATAGATTAGGCAAGTCCTCTTGTTACATCGTTTTGGTAAATCTAAAGCTGACTGTACAGCAGACTGTAACGTATATGGTAACCCTTAAAGAAGAACTCCGGATTATTAAATGAACCCTTGCAGTGGGGTTACCCCTGCACTGCAAGGGTTACCTGGTCATTTTGGTCTAAGGCAGCACAGTGGCGTAGTGGTTAGCTCTTCTGCCTTGCAGCACTGGGGGTCCTCGGTTTGAATCCCGGCCAGGTCACTATCTGCAAGGAGTTTGCATGATGTGTGGGTTGTGTGGGTTGAACAGCAATCACCAGCACTCAGTGGAAAATATTCAAACGATAAAGTCCATTTAATCGGACAAATCATCAAACATGTTGCAATAATTATAACCGACGTTTCGGGGCCACACAAGGCCCCTTCATCAGGGCAACAATGTAACATTGCAACATGTATGATGATTTGTCCGATTAAATGGACTTTATCGTTTGAATATTTTCCACTGAGTGCTGGTGATTGCTGTTCATTTGCTGTTTGATGTGCACGGCGCCACCCGTGAGTATCACTGCAAGCACCATTATTGTGATTCGGGCCGGAGATGCTGTGAGGAGCGCAGGGGGACATCTTGGACTTTAATACCTCTCTAGATCAAGACAAGCAGTCAGCTCTTACAGTACAGGGGGCCCCACTATATGAGGTGAGTGGAAATCACTCGCCTCATAGTTCTCCTTTAAGAAAAAAAAGTTCTCTGGAGTTCTTTAAGTAAATGATTTATATACCTTTACATAATCATGGAGCAGATGAATGTAGATTACATGGAACTTGCCCTTGATCAGTTATACGTCTTCTTTTTACTTTTTTTCTTAAAGATTTACTGTCATAAAGATTACTTCGAATACATTATCACAAAATAAGATGCATCACCGCACATGTAACCCTCTGATTGCACAATGTCCTTTAGCTCTGCCCTGATATATGTAGCTAAAGGACCTACTTGGTTAGATAGAAATTGATTGAATAGATTAGGCGGGTCCTCTTATGACATCGTTTTGGTAAATCTAAAGCTGTATAGTCAGACTGTAACTGCAAGAGCAATGTAAGCGCAAGAGCACTTAACCCTTGCACTGCAGGGGCAGACCCACTGCAGGGGTCGATGACAAAATTCCCCGGAGTTCTACGTTAAATAATGAGGAATACTGTCATCGGCTGATGCAATAAAAACATGTACAATAGCAAATATCATTCTGTACAAACATATCTGATGTCTCAGTAACCGTATGACATGTACAATGATGATGCGGATTCCCCATCAAAGCTGAATGTGCCATTGGAGAGACAGAAGTAGGGCTGCAACAACTAATCGACATAATCGATTATTGAAAAAGTTGTCAACTTTTTCAATAATCGATTAATCGGCTTCCGATCAGTTGGCCCTGTTCACGGCTCCACACATGCTGTGCGCCGCACCTTCTCCCCACCTCACGCTTGCCTCTGCCAGACCC